ATTGACTCGCCACCGGTCTTCATCACCAATGACCGGCAAGTTAGAATCTTTCTTAGTTATGTGAAGAACAAAGCTTCGACGCGGTTGTGTGTGAGTATTCAATCTAAGCTGGAGAAAATCAATAACAGAGGTGATTTTGACTTGAATGAAGAAGCGGCTGACTCTAACAGCGACGAAGATCCTATGGATATTGACGATTCAGTTGATATGGATTTTGAAGAAGATGTTGATGTAGATGACATCGATCAGGACAACAAGTGGGACATAGAGAAGAGCAACGGAGATGATGTTCGGTTTTCTTTGGTGGATGTCGCGAAGAAGGATCAACCTTTTAGTTCCAAAACAGTTTTGAAGGTATCATTCGAAATATGTGCTATGAAACATAATTTCGACTATAAGGTTGTGAAATCGAATAAAAAAGTGTGGTACATTTGTTGCTCAGATGATGATTGCAGATGGTGTGTTCGAGCAGAGGGTTTAACAGGTTCATCGTATTTCATCATCAAAAAGTATGTACCTGATCATTCATGTGCTCGATCGAGAAGGGACGGTTCTGTTCGTTCAGCTTCAGCCAAAACTGTTGGTACTCTGATTATGCATAAGTTTGAAACTTCTAAACAAGGGCCAAAATCCAATGATATAATCGAGTATATGCGTAACGATCACGGAGTTGAGATATCGTATTCTTTTGCGTGGGATGCAAGGGAATTTGCAATCAACGCAATGAAAGGTATTCCCAAGAAAGGTTATCAAAAAATTCCCAAATACTTGCACATGATGAAGGAAGCTAATCTAGGGTCACACACGGCTTATGAAACGGATTCGAAAGGGAGATTCAAATTCATGTTCATCTCGTTTAGTCAGAGTCTTCGCGGTTTATATGATGCAATTCGGAAAGTCATTGTCGTGGATGGGACGTTTTTGAAGAGCAAATACAAAGGCGTATTACTGGTTGCTACTGCATTAGATGGAAACTCGAATTTATATCCTAATGCATTCGGAGTTGTCGACTCAGAGAACGACCTTGCTTGGGATTGGTTTATGAGACAACTTAATGTGGTCATTGCTGACGACCATATATTATCTTTTGTGTCTGATAGGTGTACCTCAATTAATAAAACTATTGAGGCAGTATACCCGCAATCTCATCATGGAATTTGCATTCATCACTTGCAGAATAATGTTGAAACAGATACCGGTGGGAAAGGTGTGGATGGGTTGGTTGCAAAGGCATCTAAAGCTTATCGAGCTGCTGATTTTCGTAAGTGGAGTCGATAAATTCTACTTTGAGAACGCCTAGAGAGTTTCCAATAATACCTTTATTGGACAGCATTAGGGAAATGATGACTCGATGGTTTTTCAATCGTAGAACTCTAAGTTCTAAGCACTCGAAGCCATTGACCATTGCTGTTGAGAAGAAGATTGATAGACAGATTGAGAAAGGTAAAACGTTTAAGGTCTTTCCGGTTAGCGATGAGAGGTTTTTGGTTCGAGGTGATGTTATTGACTGCATGGTTGACTTGGTCAGACGCACATGTACTTGTGGAAAATTTGATCTGATGAAAATCTCTTGCAGACACACCATAAAAGCCGGCTTCAGTGTTGGAAGAAGACCACACACTCTCACTGATGACATGTACACTACGGCGACATGGTACTCGGCTTACGAAGAAAGCATAAATCCTATTTTTGTCCCTGAAGATGCATGGATTGTTCTTTCTGATGTGGAACAGTCAAAAGTACTTGCTCCGAGAGTAGACGAGGTGCAGGTAGGAAAAAGAAACGCCAACACGAGACAGCTGAAGATAAGATCCATTCATCACAGTGAACACAAGGCTCTAAAGCTCAGAAATGCAGTCGATGTGGACTTCAAGGACACAATTGAAGAAGATGTGATACACCAATATAGGAGTGTCAATGCGTTTAAAAGACTATGTGTTTTGTTCATGGTTTCTCGGTTTATACAAGTTTTGTTTTGAAGACTATGTGTTTTGTTTTGTCTCGTTTATGCAAGTTTTGTTTTGAAGACTATGTGTTTTATTCATGCAAGAGTAGTTCTTTTGTTTATCTTCTCGTTGATGCAAGTTTTGTATTTTAAAAACTAACACAACTCATATATATATTTATAGTATGACAACATTAACAATGAATGACAATGACTCCGCTGGTAAAACTATCTATACTTTCTTTCTATAAACCTTGGTTCGAGCCTCCGGATATGCAACTTTTGTAATATTATATTAATCACAAGGTCGATACATATTTATAGTATGAGAGTATTTACAACGAATGACAATGACTCTGCTGGTAAATGTATATATACTTTCTCCCTATAAACCTGGGTTCGAGGCTCCGGGTATGTAATTTTTGTATTTTTTTAATAATCACAAGGACGATATATAATCACAACCTGGGTTTGAAGCTCTGGATATTGATTTCCGGTTTACAAAACTATTCAAGGTTTTTTTTAGGGATTTTGTTCGAAAATTGGCAATGCAAATCATATTGGTTCATCAATCGTTGACAATGTAACTTGAATCAGAGAGCAATACAATATCAATCGCGTTTGAAACAGAGACAAAAAAACACTGAGAATGGATCCTACACAACCTACATCGATTGAATTCTTATGCTTTATAAACTCTTCATGCACCGTCTTCATGGTACTTCTGAGTTCTTCAATTTCTTCGGCAATCCTCAACTGATAATCATCCAACCTTTGAATCTCATCCAAACAAGCCTCGTCGACCCACTTAAAAATATGCTTTTTGTTCTTTCTCTGTTCAAAACGTAAAAAAAACAAGTCAATTGTAATAAACATGTAAAATAAAGAATAATCAAGTTATGAAAAATCAGATCTACCTTTAAACCAATCTCACATCTGAAAAATCTTATGTATGGGTTCTCCTCCGTTTTGGAAACATAAGTGACAATCCCCTTCCCACACCAGCATCTGGAAGGGATCCCTTGACTGATATACATGTTCGTCGCTGTGTAGTCAGAATGAGAGAATTTTACGAAAAAATAAGAGAAGAAACCGATGAAATCGGATTAGGTTTTGAGGCCCTATAGTGTATGTGTCCATGTTAAGGGGGGGGGCAAACATAGGTTTTAATCGGATTAGGTTTTTAGGGTATAGATAGGGGTTAGTTTATATATAATTTTACTATCATTTAGGGTATAGATAGGGGTTCTATCATTTAGTACAATTATAATAACATTTGTTTTTATTTATATTTTAATTTAATTATAAATAGAAAAACATTTTAACATTCGATTTGGTATAAATATTAAATTAAACATTTGTCTAATTTTACTATCATTTAGGGTATAGATAGGGGTTCTCTCATTTAGGGGTTAGTTTATGTCTAATTTTACTATCATTTAGGGTATAGATAGAGGTTAGTCAATAAATATTTCAAATAGTCTAGCAATAACAGGGAAATGACAACATTCTTCCTAAACAAGTAATCAATTCAATCAAGTTCCACTAGAGGATTTGAAATAGTATGTGGAGGAGTGAATTGTGCCATTCTGGCAATAAGCTCAGGATCAGTAGAAGCTTCCCATAGATCATAAGCAATATTTAACCGTGCCTCACGAATGTTGTCATCATTCACCAAAGAGATGTCCAAGCCTAGAAGATGACATTCTATGTGCTTCAAGGCATATAGTCCAGAATCAGTGCCACTACGATTTAGAACAAAGGGCATTAGAGCGTAAGGGACAATATACTTCTTCACCATGTGTGTCCGACTGCTTGAAGACTGAACAGCTTTGACAATTCTAGGGATGAGAACATCAAATGGCTCCACTGCTCTTGGATGTTTCAATTCCTCACAGTCAAACACCTCTATCGAACGAGTGACAAAATCGACGCACAAAGCGATCCAAAGTTTACCAACATTCACGGGCACATACATCCAGTCGACATCAAGATCCCACATTAGTCTTGTCCTTCTTTGTGCTGGAAGCTCCCCAATGCCGTACTCGTGTATACTTCCTCCAGCTTTGAACTTCTGTCCTTATTGAACTCTTGGAAATAGTTTTTCATTTGATTACTAAACAAGCAGGTCATGAACGCGACCCTTTTTGGACGCCATCGTCGCAAAGAAGTCCTCTCACTGAATACATACATCATAGCATCAATTTCCTGAAAAAATAGAAAAAAAAGGATTGAAAACAGATGTAAAGAAAATAAGAAGCAAAAATTACAAACTCACTTTATTGAAGAGCCACTCTGTAGGTCCTGTGACATGTGTTGCTAACTCACTTGTGAACATAGTAGGTCCACGTTTCATTGCCCTGAAATGAAAGCTTCAGTTACACAAGGATCGAATTTTTTAACACTAAGAAACAATATAAACTAACCAGGAAGTTGTGAACCACTCAGTCACTTTGGCCCATTGATCCTCAGCGACAAACACTAGATTGTAGTCGGTGTCATTCACACGGTCCTCAAGGAGTTCGATATCTTTGAGAGTATGTGATATCCAGTCTGCAGGCTTGAACGTAGATAATGGAGTAACCTTTCTGGTAGTTCGTCGTCATTGAGACTTTGTGAGGGATCGAAACCTTTAACATGTGATGCTTGAGAAAGATCTCCCATGGCGTTTTGTAAAGACTCTTGGGTCCCCTTCTCCTTGTCTACATGTTTCTTGGTTTTTGTTAGATTCTTCAAAAACTCCAACACTTCACTGTCATCATGTTAATAAAACCAACCATAACATTAATAGTAAAAAGAATGAACATTCTTATAATACATGCAAAGGAGATAACCAAATACATTTCAATCTGATAAACTACAATCCAAATACATTACAAACCACACACAAACTTACAAGCCGATAACCTACAATCCAATACATTACAAGTCGATAACCTACAATCCAAGTACTTTACAAACGACACAAAAACTTACAACAAAAGATATATCATCCAACATAGCGACCTTGTCAAAATACTTGGAATAGTCAACCCACACATAATCTCACAAAGCTTCATGTTGTTGTTACCTTTCTTACTGACCGACTACTACGACGAACCGCAATTGGATCCACACTCCCAGATGCATTGCCTCTTCCTTTTGCTGCGGAAGGACGTGGACTCTGTGATGATTTCGCTTGATCTTTCCCAAGTGTTGATGAAGGACCCGGACTCTGTGAAGAGTTGTCTTGATCTTTCCCAATCGGTCCTGAAGGTGTCGGGATCTCAGCTGCTGTGTTTTTCCCGAGTGCATCTGAAGGAGCCCTAATCTGAGACATTGTTTTTTTTTGATATTAGCCACCTCAATGTCGACCTTGTCAAAACGCTCTTGTGTCTCCTTCTGCACCATGTCCTTGAAAGAGGTGAACAACCCCTGAATAAAGGTCTTCATTTCACCGGAGACACCACTGTTATGTTCACCTGCTCGTTGACATAGGAGTTTTTTCTTCCGAGACTCGACACCATGATCATGGTGCTTACGCTTCGCCCTCTCGACAGCAACTGTCGGCTTCTGTGCAACAACATACGGCTCCGTGACATCTTCATCTTCAACATCATCTTCTTCTTCTTTAGAAAAGAGCTTTTTTTGGCAGAGACTTAACTTCCCAAACAAATTCCCTCCAGTCATGATTGGCTTTGATCATATCAAAAATCCTATCAACTCTTTCGTCCTTCTTCTCATCTTCTCTTTTGAACTCAGGATCATCAATCCCACCCGACTTCCCACTTGATGGTATAAATGGAAACAATTCTCCCTCCGATTAAAAAAACAAAACAATCAGCACCACAAAGACAATTTTGACCTTAATATTAACAAAAGCTTGATATTTACCTTATCAAAGTGGGATTCTAGGCTGATGATATCTTGATAAGATACTTTTCCACTTCCTGCCCAATTTCTACAATTCACCTTGACAATGTTTTTTTCCAACTTTTTAGCCACCATAGTACCAATGTCTGGGATTGCCTCCATGATCCATATCTGAAACGCATATGAGAATCCATCCAAAACGTAACTGTTCTTCAGATGCAAATCGGTCCTTGCCATTAATATGGAAGCAATCAGCTCGTCATAAGCGCGAAGACCCCAAGGATACATTCTCATTTTCTCAAAATCCATCACAAAACGGATGTATTCTTGAGGGATATACACTTTCGGATCCTTAGCCACGATGAATCCATGTATAAGGCACATATACACTAACCTCACCTTGTCCACATATGTCCAATGGTTACACACCTTAACTAGCTCGTCCCTTATGATGTATAAGCTGATATTTGTATTTTGCCTCATCACTTTGCTCCAGAAACCCTTATCATCCTCCCAATTATTGAAGTCTATGTCTAGTTCTTCTTTGAACTTCAACCCAGTGACAACATGCAATTCTTGCATGGAGAACCTAAGCGGCCTGTTTGCAAACTCAAACCAAAACTCGTGAAGCTTGGAAACCTTGAGCTGCTTGCATATAAAGCTGTGAATGATCTTCCCTAAGTAAATGAGTTTGTTGTCAACAATTGCCAGAATGGGACCGAAGACAGGATCTTTCAAAACTTCTTCATACTCATCCTTAAGAAAATCCTTCAACAATGCAAGCATCGTACGTCTACATGTGTTGTTGATCTTATCAATTTGGATTCAGCTCCTTCTTCAAGAAAGGGAAACTGGTAAGCCATTCCTACAAAACATGAAATTAGATACTTGAACTCATTAGCCATACGTTTAAGATAGTCCAGAAATTGTCAGAAAAACAAAACATAACCATCTCACATTTAGTAGTATATTGGACATGACAAAGAAACAAAATCAGTGTCAAAGCTCTCCACCAAAACCAAATTGGGTAATGACTAAATTAGAGTCTCGGTGACTTCTATAATGATCGACTTTACATTGTGAAATTGTCAACAAAATAATCACAGGAATTTGAATAACAAATCCCAACCCAAACAAGATATAAAATCGAACTCTTTTACATGTCGAACTCATTAGATTTTTGAATTCATAGCATATTACACACTCGATACGAAACAAAATTGTATTTCAAACCAAATCAACAACAAACTACAATCAACTCACAATCAACTCAACCACACAAAAAAAAAAAATCAAAACCAAAAACGTGAATCGATTTGTGTTCTATACAATTCAAACTATTTCTACTACATGCACATAAACAAAAACGAAAAAATTGAAAAATTCTTTAGAGGATTTCGAAACCCTAACCTTCGAGTTTTAGGAATCGAAATGAAAGAAGAGAAAACAAAGAAGATTACGTAGGTAATCGTCCATTTTTGACCGAGAAGCAGCTAAATCGGAGTTTAGAGAACTCCAACAATGACGACGGGGAGATGTGATGACTACTTCAAACCGAAAGTAAAGAGGAAAGGACGACGACGAGGAGATGTGATGCCTGCTTCGAACTCTCCGTCAAAACGGAAATGAACCTTGCTTACGGCGAGACGGTGATATCGCCTCCTTCTTCTCCGTTGGGAGCTGTGGGATGGTTTTATGTTTTAATTAAAGCAGTTGAGGGTTTTTGTTTTGTATCGTTAGTCAAGAATTAATTAAAGGGAACTATTGATTTATTTTGTGTTTTAATAATATCATGATTTAATTTAAAAAACATTTACAAAATAATTAACATTTTAACTAGGAAAATTTTAAGAGAATAAGGACAAAAGGGGTTATTCATTATTATTTGTACTATAGGGACAAAGATCCTAAATGAAATTCTAAGGGGACAGTAGTATAGCTATTTCATCCTTTTTTGGTAATTTTTCAAAAAAAAATGTCTATAAAACTTTATACAAATTGGTTTTCTGAGTTCTATCTATTGTGGACCAGTATTTTTTTCTCCTATTTCCATTTATATAGTTAACTCAAATATATATATATATATATATAGAATTATGGAAAGTCTTTGATCAATATGCATCTCTTATTATGTTAGTATGTTCTTTTGGAGGAGCATAAATGCACGAAGAAAATTTGAGTTTGATGTAAAATTAAATGGAAAAATTATCATTTAAATCACGATTTTCAAATTTTGTTGAAAAAAATATGATTTTTTCGTGGACCATTTAAAGCGTCAACTTATCTTAACTAACCGTTTAAATCTGTAATATATTTTTGACTAAATTATTTTAATCACGAAGTTAACCACTGTTTCTAATTTCGATAAATCCTTCTGAAATTCGTTTTAAAATTCAAAAGATGTTCCTCCACGAGTTCGAACCCAAGACCAGAGGTACAATTACGACACAGCCTAACCACTAAGCTACATAGAACTTAATTAAGGAAAAATCACTTAAAAACCTGGAAAATAACATTTACTATCACTTTAAACCTTGAAATTTTTTCACTAGCATTTTAAACTTTCAAAATGACATTTGTGTCACTAAAAACCCTGAACTTGAAAATCTGACCTGTTGAACATGTAAAACAAGTAATTTATCAGTTTTTTTTCCAAAAATAAATATTAAATAAATAAATATTAAATAAATAAAAATTTAATAAATTTTCAAAAAATAAATAAAATCAATTAAATTTTCAAAAAATTAAAGAAACTTCAGAACATAAAGAAACATTTATAAAAAAAATAAATTGAAATACTAAAAATTAAATAAAATTCAGAAATTAAACAAAATTAAAGAAAATTCACAAAATTGAACAAAAAAATAAATAAAAATAAAGCTAGATTACATTTTAAAAAAATAAAGAAAATTTCAGAACATAAATAAAATTTAAAAAATAAATAAATTGAAAACTGTTTTAAACCATCATTGTCAATAGTGATATATTTCAAATTTTTATTCTCAAGTATAATATTTCAGTTTTTTTGTAGAAAAAAAAAAGCAATCTTGTAATTTTTATGAAATTTTCCAATAAAATTGATATATCATCGTTGATAATGAAAATTTCAAACATATCACTGTTGAAGTTGATGGTTTCAAATTGTTAAAAACATAATCTCGTAATTTTCTAAAAACTATTTTGAACTTTTGAGTTTTCAATTTTGTGAATTTTCTTTAATTTTTGTTTAATTTTCTGAATTTTATTTAATTTTGGTATTTCTATTTATTTTCTAATAAATTTTTCTTTATGTTCTTTTTTTTGATGAAATTTCAAATATTGATCAGTAAAGATGGTCATTTACAAGAGGATAGTTGGATCCTAATTATGAAAGAATGGAAAGAACAAAAAATTACTACTATCTAGCATAGGTCTTGTGCAACATTCAACCCACGAAAGCTCATGTGTGATTTACTTCAAACCATCTTTGTAAAAGTCCCTGTAGTCTGTGACCTCCAGTGTACTTAAGTCAAGAGATTCTATTACGGGCAACCTTATCAATAGCTCGTGACATAGCTTCTACTGACACACATGCTCCTCCATGACGCCTTGAATTTCTTTCTCTCCAAATAGCATATATAGTTGTCTGAAACAACAATTTCAAGAGAATCCTATCAAGCTGACTGAAAGTCGTCTGCAGCAAGCTCCTGACAGTGTCATCCCACTCTGGTGTGATGAAGCGACCAAGCAATCTGTCTGCAAGATTTATCCAGACCGTATAGGTGTACGGAGAAGCAAAGAAGAAGTGATCTCTGCTCTCATTTATCTCTCCACAGAAAACACATCCTTGGGATTGGGACAATATTTCTTTAGTTTAGTGGTATTTCTTTACTCTAGTGGTATTTATAAAGCAATCTGAACCTAGCAACACGTGTTCAAGCCAGGATTAGGACATTACCGGCCTTTTTTCTAAAAAAACTTCTGGTCCTTAGCAAGTCAGGACCGCTACTGATGTTGTGTCATGTCAAGGAAGATATGTGTTCTTTTCCCCTGGCGGCTGGCGCACAAGAGAAGATGGATAACACAAATTTTATGCATCAACATGTAGAAAATGATCTTCTTTTTCATGAGCATGTACGTTGTAAGATTATACAAGTTTAAAAGTTAGTGTAAAAAATACACTCTTAAGGTACTATAAGAAAATAGTATTAGATGGATAAGATTATTCATCATGTTAAAAGAGTTCATAGATCTGGTCATGTGGGAAACAGTTATATTACAGTATCACACAAAAGATTAGTCATTCCACCACACGTGACATAACGGATAATATCCATATTATTAATATGGATTGCATCAAACCATATAAATATAACAGAATACATATAATAATCCCAAAGATAAGACTGTTACACTACTTAAGCTTTATTCAATTATCTAAAGTTGCAGAGTAACCAAACACACACACACACACACTTCCATATTCTCTTATTTTGCTTTCTTTTAATAACAGTCATATAGTTTAATATCCATCTTGACCCTGAAATATTTGGCACCTTCAAAGGTATCAGTCTCAAACGTAACAATCCCTCGAGACATGAAGAAATCACCTGTCCCTCCGACCACAGACAAATCTCTCGTTTTCTCCATCATAAGATCTGCTCCCATTATGTTTAACGTCCCTTTGTGTTGAGTTGAGTTAAACACAAGTGTGTACGAGAACCACGCATTGTAATCGTTCTTCATGTCGTAAAAATAAAATCCTTGAGCACGTGCCACAGGTTCGGATTGATAGTTTTTGTCTATGGTCACTGGATCGTCGAAAATCACGAGCTTGCCGAATTTGAAATTCCCTAGTCCTGGAGGGTTGGTAACGGCAGCAGAAGTCGCGTTTTGCACGTCATCGACGCCAAACATTATGTCATGATAGTAGAGAACGAAGTTTTTGCAGGGTTTTGATTGAGATTTGGATGGTTTTCTAGCTGATATGACGGTTTTTGAGACAACAAGGAGAATTAATAAGAAGAGAAATGATTTCATTTGGCTCGCCATATTTTATGTCCTATGAAAATGTGTACTCTTCTTTGAAATGTGAAAGTGAAGAATGAGAGTGCTAGATGTTATTGATGAACAAGGTGTTGATTGATATAATAGCAAGTGTGATGGGTTTATATACAACTTGAGTTTGCTAGCCTGTATAATGTAGAAAGTGGACTAGCTCACTTTGTTTCCCTCGTATTTTTGTCAAATATATTTATTTTATTAGGTTGGTGAAGAGCTATGTCTATGCATATAAGTGAAATCCCTTTAGATGATATAATCTAAAACTTTTCAAATTAGGCGGCTCAATCACCTTTCAACAATTTCCACAAACTGTAATGATAGAGACATAAGATAACACGAAATCATTGTGAAGTATCAATACCTGTACTAAATAGCTTAATTTCAATTGATCTAAAACATTCCACTACATAAATTTAGAATCTGGAGTGATATCAATTCGGTTGTGCAATTAAATACATGACAAAACATCATATAAATGCCCCATCAAGTTCATAGACAAAATATGTGTGGAATAGGCTTAGCTCAAACCTCATCAACCATCTGCCAACATATTATGAATGATAAACCGGTTTATCGGGAGTTACACACTTTCCTTAATTTTTTAATTGTTCTTAATGTGATGGTTTCATACAATCAAGAATCCATGATACGCATGATCAAAATTGTTTTGCAACACCCACAAACAGAAGCTAATGAACCTAAAAATGTGTTCTACTCTCAAAAATAAATAAATAAATAAATAAACATATATAGAACTGTTTATTCTTGATCAGTGTGATCTATGACTATGTGTAATCAATAACATGAGAAAGAGACAACAACTTCTTATAGTCTGTGTGTCCAACTTTATTCATAAAATGACCAACATAATACACAAAATAGGAAGAATGTGGAGCACCTCATACAAGTTTTGTCATTGATCTGGTCATTCTATTTGTTGCTTTTGGAATATGTTGGATTGAGAAGTAAAGGAAAAACTTCTTAGATTGTTGAATTATGTTATTAGTGATAATATAAAGGAATTATATTTGTTGAATTAATCAAAAATATATTAACTAAAATATGTATCAAAAATATGTAGATCAAAATACGAGAACCATTAGTATATTTGTCCAATCCGAAATTCATATCAAGTTCATATAAAAAATTGTTTGTATAAAATTTTGATAATTTGTTTAGTAATAAAATAGGATTATAAAATAGACTAAAATAATATTTTGAAATTTGTAAGATATTCTATATTTATGTTATTATATTATTTACTGTTATATTTAAATATATTTATTTAATAATCTGCATGAGTTATTATAATAGTTTAAAAGAATACAAAAAATAGAAATCAATATTAAATGTAATTGTTCATAACATTTTGTTTTAAACCATATCATTTTTTTATAGTATATCATGTCATATCTTATTTTATTAAAAATTATTATCATGATGACATATGATAAATCACTTCTCAAATAATATTTAAGTGATTACATTAATACTGTTCATTTCAATGAAACTTATTTTTTTCTAAAAACTAAAATTTCATTTATATCGATCCAAAAAGGGCATCGGATCAAAGACCTGCCGGTTAACCAAACAGCTGCCACTAGGTGTTAAAAAGCTAAGGGAGGACACTGTCGAAGTAGTTGTTGGGAGCGTTCCTTTCCGGAGAGTCTCGTACTTCATCCATGCAGTGCCGGCCCTATAAATATATGGGCCAGAAGCCGAAATAATTTATCGACTGCTAATATCTATATTTTCTGTAGAAATTTTTAAAAAAAATTCTAGGTTTGACGACCGAACACATAAACTCTATCTAAAATTTCGCGCTTTGTTTATGTAAGAAAATTGGACTGAAAATTTATATATTTATTATAGGCCGGAAGCTGGGGCTTCTAATGCTTCATGCCAGGACCGCTACTGCATCCATGGTTTCTGTCTCGAAAAGTAGGAAATATTTGAATGTGTATTTTGCCGGATTGAGTTTCATCTCATACTTGTTTAGTTTCCTCCGTTCCTGAATTCTGTCAGACAAACGACCGTTTGAATTGTCGCGGAAATATGGTCTATCAAAATCGAGTTCAAAAAGTGTTAAGGATCATCAAATAACTAAAACATCTCGTTTCGTTTAGCTTTATAACACTTGTATACTAAACCTAATTAAAATTCTAGAAGCTGGATATACAATTTTATTCCTTCACGAGCTCTTATGAAGTTGCTCTAAAAACTTTCAAAATTCTAATATTCAGTAAAAACAAAAAATTTTAGAATTCTAAGATGATTTGTGAAAGTATAAAACTGTCATAAATTTGGATAGTTCCCAAATATTTACAAAATTTACTTAAAGCATCATTTTAGCAAACCACGCATGGATGGTTTAGTGATAGGCGAATTATGGCAAGATAAACGATCTGGATTCAAAGCAACCTCACGACACAAATATGTGTGGCCATGCGACATGGGTTAATAATTTATATTACGAGCAACCTGGTCTTTCTAGTATCAGTGAATAGATCCCATGAGACTAGTCGGTTGGCCTCGATCCGTCAGATACCCACATATTATTAAAAAAAATATCATTTTAGCAACTAGAATGGTCCGATCGTCTTTTGATAATGGGTTGGTGGAGCACTAATCTAATATCATCACGGGGAGTTTTTCCTATACATATAACTTCTCATGACATTTAGTCAAATTCCACTGACATGCTAATGAATCATTATATATTATCTTCTTTTTTTATTAATATTCACATGTGGATTTAGTTTTACTAAACTTCACTTCCTTACTAAATTAACGTTTAAGCTTTCAGTTATAGTTTGTTTTATATATAAGAAAATCCATTAATGTGTTGGGCTGTCGGTTCGTCAACCTATCATCCACATCCAAAATTCCAAATGATCTATTTAGATAATCCATCTAAATGATTTATTTGGATATTGTTCAAAACTATTCGTCCATTCAAATGATCATTTGGATGTATATCTAGATGAAATTTTATTTGTTTGCACATTTGTATTTTCATCTAGATGAATTTAATAAGAAAATGACTCATATATCTTTATTTTGATTTATTTATATTCTTAACCTTAGCTATATTAATTTTTATCAATGAAATATAATTACAACTAAATATTTTTAAAATGGCTTTTAATTTTGTGGTTAACGGAAATTATTATTTCATGGCTTTAAAAATATGATATTTGTAATTGTACTAATGAAAAATGTGATTTTATTATTTTAACATAAAATAAAATTTTGTGGTTCGATGAAAATATGATTTTGGCAAGAAAATGCTCTTGCGATGTTTTTTTTTTTTTTTTTTTTTTGCGTTTTGGAAGGAAATTGAATTTTGCTATTTTAGCAGAAAAGAACAATTTGTGGTTTACTTGTAAAATGCAATTTTGTAGTTTTGGCAGAAATATAATTTTACTTTTGGCAAAAAATATGATTTGTATCGTGACTGTTTATTTATTTAAAATTTGGATATAAATACTTTATTAGAATAAGAGTAAATTTGTTATTTTTTATTTTATACATGTTTATCATGATTCAAATACACCAATAAATTCATCGGAAATCGTCATCTCGATGAATCTTATTTTAAACTAAATTTTTAAAACTCATTTGGATGAATTATTTTGATTATGTTCAGTTTTTATAAAATGAACATTAGTTTTTATTTCCACCAAGATGGTTTTGGAGGATCAACAAACAAACATTCTCTAGGTCTTGACTCATAATTAATATTGAATTAATCTTATTTTCTTATTAAACATAAAATTATCATCTTGTAAAATATTGTTTTAAAATATATAGGATCTTTAGATCCGATTTCAGTTTGGGCTTGCAAATTTCTGCAAACTTTTTGATACCATACATATAGAATTTTTAGGTATCTTTTTATCTTCTCAAAATCAATTGGATACTCTTGAATTTACCAATGATCTTTAAGTACATGATTGTGTCTTTTCTTTATGATATTCTTAATCATGTTAATACGTCCAATCTAAATCAAGTAGTGACCATTTTATCATCAATGTAACCATTTTCGGTATTAAATATGATATCCTTAGCCGACTTAATAGAACATTGGCATTTTGACAGCCAATAAATCAAAACAAATTGCAGAGTTTTAAATGTGACTTATTTGACTAACTAGTAAATAATGTTTGTAAGCAAATATTTTGTTTTGACAAAAAGTAAAAGTGGGCATGTATGTATTTATAATTATTAAATTTGTTAAAAACTAGAAAATAAACTGCCCTGACAAAAAAACATACTAACACAATACTAATTCAATTTTTTAATATATGAGATTTTCCTTGAAGTTGATTTTACATTTGAGTTAGCAATTTTATAAAGACAATATCTCAAAATAACAACTCAATGATAAAACATTGTGACTCAAACAAAAACTCACAAAACTAAAATAATTCATGAGTGGTAATATCATTGAGTTGCTTACAATCACAATTCAAACTTAATGACTTTTTACTTATCTCAATTCTAAAAACTTTGATGGTACATGTTTGAAATTGTGTGTATTTAATGCATAAGCTACTTGTGGTCTCGAGTACGTACGGAAACTGAACTTAAATTGCTTCTGATAACGTTGGAACACCGACAATGGACTTAAAGCCGACGAAGAACAGAGAGAAGTAAAATCTCTTTTTACCCGTTCACTTTTATAACTTTCATGCAAGCTTCAAGAACTCAATATATTTTATGCTGAGTTGTTTTTCAACAGGCAAAAATAACAAGTGGTTTCAAAGCTTTCAGGAAACGGAGCCGGGATAGTAGCAGTTGCGAACACAATGCATCTTCTCAACAATTGGTGAGCCTTAAATCTTCAAAATTTCTTGATAATTCATTGAAGCTCTTAATTGCGGCTACATCATCAGTCATCACCATTGGGTGTCAGCGCTGGAGCACTGGCAAGTCATGGTGCTTCGACTTCTGGTGAGTGCTTTCTCTTTGACAAAAAGAGGTACAGTGTACTCAATAAGATCGTAGTACCTAGACTATTAATAAGCTTAAGACCCCTTTCAATTCTTCAGAAACTTGGAAA